AGTTAGTTACACGAATTCAGATATGGGATGAAATCGGATAAGGATGAACGGGTTCAAGAGTTTTTAAGAAATTTAGCCAAATGCTTTATAAGATAGTATATATATTAATAAATTACTAATACACCATTTTTCTTAATTAAGATAATACAATTAATATAATAAAATGATTGATTCATATTGAAAATTACAGGTATCACAAACTAATTACTTCTCATTTGATTAGACTCATATATATATATGCAAACCAAACTACTTGTACAAACCATGAAAACCGTCGATTTCATTGTTTATTTTAGTGAAGTTTTCTTGAAATTATCTAATATGATGGAATTGTTTCAAATAATTCATTTCTTGATAAAAATGTTTCATGTATTTTTGTTTCTATGTAAAAATTAAATTGTTTCATATATTTCTTATTTTGATGAAATTTGTTTACTAAAATTAATAGAATGAAGATGATAATGTCCATAATTATTTGAAATTAATTTTTGAAATAATTTCATCATATTAAACAATTTCATAAATTTTTTTCACTAAAATAGATAATGAAATCAGCTGTTCATGGTTTGTACAAATAGTTTGGTTTGCAAAATATTCTTTCCGTACACGCACACGCACACGCACACGCACACGCATGCACACACACAGAGAGAGAGAGAGAGAGAGAGTCTCAGTCAATTACAAACCATAGAAAAAGTATAAACCATATAAACAATCTTAATCGTCCAACTAGTCTAACTAATATCTCGTTTCATAGATATATTGATTGCTTCCTACAATAAAACATTACTCATAATTAATAAACTTTAACAATATTCAGTAAATATTGAAATCATAAAAAAAAAAATAAGTGTTTCATCTAATAGTTCTTTACTAGTATTTATTCTATTTATTAGCAGGTAATTATACGAATTCAAACATGGAGTTTTAATAACTTGTAATCTTGAATTTTAAGTAATATACATTAATAAGTTGTATGATGCATAATTTTTTATGATAATTTAGCTAAATACTTTATAATATAATATAGATTATTATTATTTATTAGTAGAGCTATTTTCTAAAGAAATGTCATAAAATTATTTAATGTAAATTTATTTTAATTACTCTTTTCATTCTTTATACTCAATAAATAGATGTGACTTTCAAGTGATTTTGATAAACATGCAAGAATATGATATGGGACAATGTTTCATTCTTGATTAGAGATTTTGTATATGTATTAACTATTGCTTATTTAACATGATTCTGTATACAGATACTTAATTAATCATTTGAAAACCCCAAAATTTGTGAAATCTGTGAGAATTTCTACTTTAAGGTTTTATTTCACATGATTTTCTTTCCGTCTAAGGATAGTATTTAATGTATTGTTTAACATATATTTGTTTCATAACGTGTTTGTTTTATATGTACTCTGTTCATAATGTGAAACTTTTTCACGTCTATTTTTTGTTTCACAAAAACGTCATGTGAATAGGGAGGGCTACGTGTGAAACAAACATAATGTTAAACAAATGTATACATTTGTTTCTCGATTTCGACTTCTACGTAGTTATCTTGACGATAAGAAATTGAGGAACGATGGAGAACTTAATGCGTTAAGATGGTTGGTTGTGATGATCATAGATGTAATAGTAGTAGCAGATGGAATTGAAATGAATGTACAGATTAAGTAAGTAAAAGTGTAAGTGGTTGGTTTAGAATCTGGAGAGAAACTGGAGTTGCTTAAGAAGTGGAGTCAAGGTTTCCATGAGCTTCTCGCATGGATGGTTATGAATTCCTTCGTAGGTTGTCACCACAATCGTATTGTCTTTTGAGAGCCTCTGAATTTGCTTCTTCACATTGCATGTATGATGAGTACACCTGTAATAACTCCTTCCATGCATTACCCACCAAACAAAATCAAATTAATCTTCACTACTTCTATAAACAATATATACATAGACTATACTATACTATAAAACATTTGATAAAAACTCTTAAAAACTGTTTTTTATGCATATAAATTACCAATTTAAAACAACTTATTGATGTTTTGCAGAATTGAAGGAATGAATCGATAAATAAGGAAAGAATGAGTGGTAGAAATGTTAGGTCAACTTATTTGTCAGCAATTACTCTTTCTTTTTCTTGCTCACCAAAGAAACACACAATTGTCACTAAAAGGGACAATTCTTCAACGAATTAGAATGTCAAGTAACTTTATATATATATATATATATATATATAGAGAGAGAGAGAGAGAGAGAGAGGTTGGTTAATACAACCCTATCTCAACCGTTCATTTTATTTGATTAATATGTGATTTCATAGAAGTTTTTATTGTTTTCTAATATAAAGTATCGATCATAATTAATGAACCATATTCATAAATATTCAAATCATAATAAATGAACTCTCATCATTTCCATAAATATCTCAACATATTGGGTTGCATTGGTGTACAAATGGGATGAGTTGTATTTGAAACAAACTCTCTCTCTCTCTCTCTCTCTCTCTATATATATATATATATATACTATATAGAGGAGCGATCAAATGAAAACCACTCTAATTTGTAAAAACCGTAAAAACTACTCTCATCCGTCGTAATCTTATGAAATTTTTTCACGAAATTGTTTAATCTTGTGAAATTGTTTCATATAATATTTTTTTTGATGAAGTTGTTTCATATATGGTTATGAAATTATTTCATATACTACTTAATGAAATTTTTATGAAACTGTTTCATGTATTTATCTAAAATTAAAATAATGAAGATGATAATATCCATGATTAACATCCTCCACAATAAAAATGATTAATCAACCTCTTATAATTACAAAAATATGAACAAAATGAAAAATTATGATTGGTGGACTGAGGTTTTTACGGTTTTTACAAATTGAGTGTTTTTCATTTGATCGCTCCCCTATATATATATATATATATGTGGATTGCTTAATTAATAATTAAAACGGGTTATAATTAACAACTCAATTCATTTCGATTTGGTTTTTTCGAGTTCTTGTAGAAAACAATATCAAATCTACATATATAGATATAAATATAGATATAGAGATAGAGATAGATATAGATATAGAGATAGATACAGCGAGTAATGAATTGGTACCTTGGATGATGGCTATTTTTGACAGATTTTTGGCCATATTTTCTCCATTTGTAACCATCATCAAGGATATCCTCACTACTTCTTGTATGAAATGCAACCCTAGATGGAGTTACTTTTTTACCCCTACTTTTCATGCCTTTACCATTCATACCATTATGCCTTCTGCTGCTGCTGCTTTCATGATCTCCCATTGCAGATCCCTCACCATTGTTCATGAAACCAGAAAGAAGGCTAACCCAGTCTACATTGCTGCTCTCCAAGTTAATACTATTATTATCCACATAATTATGAGGCATTAACGGCAAGCATGGTTGAGGTAAAAGCAGCGGATCAGATGAAGATGAATGGAATGGATTATCAATCAACGGTAACGTTGTTGTATAATCCAACATAAATGGATTCATGTTGTTGCTGTTGTTCATAGGATCAGCCTGATGATCATCATGTGCTCCTGCATGTGAAGCATGCTCATGATCATCTCTTTCCATGGTTCAAGATCAAGAGAGAGAGAGAGAGATAGGGTGAATGTTTTGTATGAAATGTTGATGGCAGATGAAAGAGGTTGGTCTGTCCCACACACTTGTTATATATACATATATATGTGTGTGAGAGAGAGAGAGAGATGGCTTGAAGAAAACCAACTAAACATACCTACTTTTGTTGAACTATATATGTTGTTAAAAGATGTAGCTAAGCTAAGAATTCCATGTGTAATGCTATCAATACATCTGCATGCATGCACATACACATATATATACATATGTATGTATATGTATATATATATATATATATATATATATAGATGGTCAAATATATGTATATTTCATCTCTCTCTCTCTCTATATGTCTCTTTCTTCATCTCTGTGATTGTAAGGAGATGTTGTTAAACAACTAGTTCGGTTTATTTTGAGTAAAGATAGAAGACATCAGTCGTTGTTGTGGGTAGTTTGGAAAATTCATATACATCGCTCCACTTCTGCAATAAGTCTCATTTATTTATAATTATATCATCACTCTTAATTAATTCTTGATTAAAAAGCACAATTTCTTTAATTTAAAACGTATGAATTAATTATCGTATCGGATATTTTTAACAAGACAAACTTGATATATAATATGACTCCACGATAGGTTTTTGTTCGGAAGAGATTTTTCATAGATGAAATTGAAGGAACATGTTTTATTTATTTATTTGGGAGGGAAATGTTTGAAAAACTTGATCTTTTATATAAAGATTCTTGTTAGAAGCTTAATGAATAAGTCACTTTTTATATCATTAAGTCACTATCAAACAATTATATATAGCTGACCGAATAAGTTAGGAGTTTCATTAATTTCATTAAACTACTAACAAACATACCATTAACACATATAAAAATATTTAAAAAAATGATGCTTTTAGTTTTTAAAACAAACAAATGTATATATAGAAATAAAATTTAATTAAGAAATTAAAATTTATAAATACATTGTTTAATTAAATGATTTATAATATGACTCCACGACCATGATGCCACATATTTCCGAACCATACCCAAATGACATCGCCCAAATCTTGTATTTCATACAATATTTTATTTTTTTTAAATTTTTAAATAAATTGAAATAAATGTTATTATCAAGACACGAATGTTAAAAGACATCTGAGTTCTTAAAATAAAGGTTAAAAATAATGTCTGATTTTTATTTTTAAGCACTGCAAAATATTCAAAAGTCAAAGTATATTTACACGATACGGGTATACGTATATGACTTATATATATATATGGTTGAGTTCACGTGAGACCAAGGGCTTTTCGTGGGACCCGTAAGACCAATTTATGTTCATTGATCAACTTTATAAGCTAATGATCTAATGGTCTAAAGTTGCAAGTTGGCAATTTTGTAATTATTGAGAAGTCTCGTGGCGTTTATGAATGTTTAGATCTGACGATTGTAAATCTAATCCAATGGTTGAGAATTGGTCTTACGGGTCTCACATGATCTCAAGTCTCTCTCCATATATATGTGTACAAAATAATAACATTTTATATGGAATATTGAAGTAATTAAAAGAAAAAAAGTCCATGCTTCAGACATACTCTTCTTATTAGAGAAAGTTGTTAAGATCTTTTCAACCATTTACATCAAATTCATTTCTTGTAGTTTTGCCCCATTCTTTAGAAAATGGGTATTCATGCAACTCCCTTAAATTCCTCTACAAGTTTTTAATATAAATAATGAATTTCAATTAAGTCCTTAATTTCTCGTATAACTTTTCCATCCTTTGACAACAAAAATCTTTACATGTATTGAGAAATTACAGTGACTGATAAACTTTCGATCAGTAAAAAATAAATCAGTTTCATCCATATTCTTCAAAATTAATTGGTTGACGCAAATGAACAAAATTTTAGAGACATTAAGGGTATATCTTGCACTTCCCCTTATAGATCGTTATAGTTGGAGTCACTTTAGAACCATTCAAGATTTTACTGATTGTTATCTTCAGATCCTGTAGAATTAATCGAGATGATGGAAGCTAACCCATATACCAATTAATGAAATTCATATAATAAAATCATCACCATGCATAATCGTTTGAATCCCTCACGCGATCTCCATCCACCACAATTATTTGCATCATCATGCATGTGCTAAGTTTCTATTGCTTATAACCCTATAAATGTAACCATGCACCCTAGCTAGTGAGACCACAAACCAGCAATCAATTATGAACAATGGTTCATGGAACTAGTCACATATGGCTAGTACTAGCGTACGAGACAGGGACCAAGACCATGAGCTGTCTCATGATTACGAGGATGCACTTACAAAGGCGATATTGTTCCTCGAAGGCCAACGGTCGGGAAAATTACCCTCGGCTCAGCGAGTCAAATGGCGTGACGACTCAGCCTTGTCTGATGGCGAGTCCAAAAATGTATATATGTGTAATTTATATTAATTGCATTGATGACTTGTACTGAATAATCTATTAACGTAACAACGTTATCTTGAAAACTCGATCGACAGGTGAATTCAAGTGGAGGATACTATGACGCCGGTGACAATGTGAAGTTCGGGTTCCCTATGGCGTATACAATCAGCTTGTTGAGTTGGGCTGCGATCGAGTACAACAAACGTATTAACTCAGTGAGTCAACTAGGAGATGGAAACAAGGATCACGCATGTTGGGAGCGGCCGGAGGACATGGACACACCCCGAACAATCACGGAGATCAATGCTGGTTCTCCAGGGACGGAGGTGGCGGCTGACTCGGCCGCGGCACTTGCTGCAGCCTCGATTGTTTTCAAAGGGATCGATTTAGAATAGTCATCAAGACTAGTAAACCATTCAAAATCAGTACGTACGATACATGGAAACTCTAAAAAAAAAAAAGAACTAAAGAACACTCTGATAATCATATATATGTACAATATGCATATAAATAATTGAAGTTGTTTCTTGATTTTTATGCACGAATGGATGTTATGTGCATGTGCATATCAGATAAATTGCTTACAAATTTTTCTTGTATGTACATGTGCATTTCGTCTAGATGGATGGTTAGAAGGTGTTACTTAACTTTTCAATTTTTTATGGTTTTCTCCGGAATATGATCCTCTATATAACCATTTTATATATAAATCAAGTAATTAATTGTTATGGATTGAATATGAATCTCAGTTATTCGAGTTTGGGGACAAATATAGAGGATCATACCAGGGTTCTTGCCCGTTCTACTGCTCCTACTCTGGTTATAATGTAATTAAATCTTTACTCCTAAACTTAGTAGTTTTTTTTATTAACCTAGATATTCAACTCGTTATATGAGCCGACCTGTTTTGCGGGTAGTCCGAAGTCACCGCATTTGAACCTCGGTGGCCACAAGAGCATTTTTGTTCCTCATTGGATTTGAACGCACTTTTGACTTTTGAAGCCAAACTCAAATTAATCAGACACCACCTGTGGTTGTAGTTATTTATTTTTCATTTTCTAATACTTTGTTTATGTTTTATTTTATGGGGTAATTAAACAGGATGAGTTGTTATGGGCAGCGGCTTGGCTTTACAAGGCGACTGGAGAAAGCAGCTACTTAAACTACGCGATAAGCAATCGAGGGTGCAGCCAAGCCGCTACAGAGTTCAGCTGGGACAATAAGTTTGTGGGAGCTCAGACTTTACTTGCAAAGGTAATAACACAATTTAGTTTGCTTTCAAAGTTGTTACGCATTAATTTCATTTTTGTTTTTTTTAAGAATATTTTGCAGGAAAAAGTGAGCTGGAGCCGTTTAAAACAGGAGCCGACTCATTTATATGCGCCGTGACGCCAAACAGTGGCTCGCTCCAAATCAAAACTACCCCCGGTAAGCTTTCAAAGTTTTGCAATATGGGCCTAGACCCAGGCCCATGTAGGATGTTAATGGGCTTAAAGAGGCTTTCACTTCTGTTGGATTAAATTTTTAAGAAACCAATATTCACAAAAAATAAAATATTACCAAAATGACCTTGTAGGTTATCGGTTCAAGTTTTTAGGATTTTTTTTAACTGGGATTAGGCTAGGTTCGTGCAACCTAACCTGGATACCTACAGTTTCCGATACATAAGTTACACGGAATTTGCATGAAATAACGTAAAGATTTAACATTTGGGTATTACAAGAAAATCGTTCATAAACTTACTTCTAAAATTCTGTATTTCTTAAATACAACATTGCACGTCTTTCTATGTATATAGATGGACTTTGTTCACTAGAGATAGTAGCAATTTACAGTATGCTTCAAGTGCTAACATGGTGTTACTCGCTTACTCCAACATACTCATTGGATTTGTCCATTGTGGCCCCACCAAATTCACTCGTGATCAGATCAAATCCTTCGCAAAATCCCAGTTTAATTTTCATTAAATAAGAAATCAAAATAAAACATATGGAAATAAAATTAATACATACTTCGAAAAATATCAAGTTGATTACATTCTTGAGAAAACCCCTCTAAACATGTCATACATGGTTGGGTATGGGAAGAAGTACCCAACACAAGTGCACCATCGGGGTGCATCCATTGATTCAGTGTATGACAACCAGACTAAGGTGGGCTGCAACGATGGCTACTCAAGCCACTATTCTTCGAGTAAACCTAACCCTAATATCCATGTGGGTGCAATTGTCGGAGGCCCAAACTCAAACGATGGGTTTAGGGACATAAGATCAGACTCATCGCACTTGGAACCTACAACTTATATGAATGCCGCTTTCGTGGGACCTTACTTGGTGATAATCATGACCAATCAGAGGTGCTCGAAACCCCTAAAACAAGTCTTGTAGACTCTGTTTAGTGCATGTATTCGTATTTAGATATAATTAAGGGTATGTAATAAAGTAGAATAAAACGTGATTTAAGCAGATACTAAAACTAGAAAAAAAATATAATATTAATAATTAAAAACTAAAATATTTGACATTATACATGTAAACATGGTGATTAATTATATGACCACAAATAATTCTACATGAATTAATGATTGAATATTTACTTATTTTATTATATTTTATCTTTTTATAATAATATTATCAATATTTTTTAATTTAATTACGAAGAAATTTCATATTCTCAATATTTGATGGTCAATATTGTATTTTCACAAATAATTATATTATTTCATTTTCTTTAATTAGGTAATTTTGTCGATACCTATTATAAAATTCTAAAATTTAAAACGTGAATAAATTATTCAAATAATTAAAAAAACAATAAATCAGACTGAGATTTAATAAAATAAAGAAAATATTGTAGGCTGGTTTTTAATAAAATAATTTAATTTGGAAGATAATATTTAAATAATAATTAAAAAAAGTTTGACCATCTCTTTCAATTGCCATCAAAAGCGTGACCGCAAAAATCGGCGTCCCCAAACGAGCATACACATACTTTCACATTTAAAAAATTCCGATCTGCCCATCATTTTCTCGACATATTTATTTTATATTATTATTATTATTATAATCAATATTCACATATTTTTAAAAAAAGAATCAGACATCAAGTACCCGGTACCGAAACCGATGGTTCCAGGACTGGCTCCCAATTTTAAAGAACCGGTATAACCAGTTCTGGTTCCTTGAATTTTGGTCAGATGCCCACCTTTGCTCACCTTGAACAGACGGTATCAGAGTCAAGACCAGGACTGGTATGCTAGCGAGGACACTGGACTTCTAGGGGGATGAATTATAAGATTTCACATCGGTTGGAGACGGAACAAAAGTTGCTTTATAAGAAACTTGATATCTCCTCTATCAGACAAGTCTTAAACCGTGTCCACATGTGTGTGGACAGAATGGACAATATCTGCTACGATTAATCTGAGATGTTACATTAGATAAAAAAAAATAGTTTATTATATAAGACTTTAAGACGATACTTTATATAGAAAGTCAAAATTTTCCTCCCAATTAAAAAATATGTTCTTTCCATCTATGAAAAACTCTCTTTAAACAAAAATCTTTTTAATCTGTAAAAACAAAATAATATATACAAACAACTTTATCTATACACGACTTAATGAAAACCAATCAAACAGACCCTTAAAATTAGATTTGTTAAGCAATAAATTTATTCCAATATCAACTTCTATTTTTTCTAGGAAAGAAAATATATCAAAATATAACGGATTTTGTTAATAGTTTTTATTTTAATTTAATTTTTTTTTACTAAGCTTGTTTTAATTTTCTCATCAAATATATATTATAAGACCACCTACAAGGCATACAAACAAGAGGCTTTTCACATTGTTCTTCTACAATAAATGTAAGCAATTAAAATAATGCATTAATATATTTAAATAATTTAAAATATAAATATAAATAAATGCGATTTATTTAATTTATAATTCAACACTCTGCATTATCTTAAATATTAAAAATGAAAACCCTGGCTACCTTATTTTAATCACCCCTACATTATTTTACAATTTAATTGGAATTGAATTAGTCGTAAGCTTTCCCTCTACAAGAACCACCACCTCTTAAATACGACTTATCTACTTACATTAATACAAAATAGATACATTATCTTATATCTAAATATTAATTATTAAATACTTATTGTATTCTCCAAAAATATAAATATACGAAAAATAGTTATAAATAATTCTTTTCGCGTCCTTGAAAGGGCAAAAACTCAAAACAAACGATGGAGTAGAATATCATAAAATACGACCATAAAATAATTGAAATTGACGACTTAAATTTTGAATTATCAGTTATTAATTATACATAAATGAACATACAACAACTTGACAATAATATATATGTATATGTATATGTATATGTATATGTATAGAGTCAGTTGGTTCAGAAGAAAACCGTAAAAAATGAAAAATTAAGGAATAACCTACTAACCATTCATCTGTGCGAAATGTATATGTACTTAAAGATAATTTATACGTACGTGCATAGAAGTTAGGAAATATCTTCAATTACTTATATGCATATATACATAACTTATAGATGAACGGTTATTATGGTGTTCCTCTATTTTTCGTTTTTAATGATAATTCATATATCAAAAGTATGGTCTTGGAATACAAAATGACCGACTTCTTTGACATTTTAAACCTAATTATTCATTTCATAATGAAAATCAACTATCCATTACATGTTATTTCCTTGCTCATTTCATCATAACATATATATTTTAATTTTTGTATAATTTACATATATGAATATGTAAATATATATATATATATATATATATATATATAATTATAACAAAAAACGCTCTTCTAACCTTACAAATTTTACAAAGAAAAAGCAAAAGTAAACTTTAAGAAATTCATAGTCATGAGAAGACATGAGGAAATTGCTGGTTTGAGCAATTATAAGATGATGAATCCATTTTAAACCCTCCCAAATCCTCCAAATCTTCGAAGAAATCATCTCTATATATCATGAAGTCGTCATCGTTGAATCCTGTCATCATTGTATGTTCTTGATCGTCGAATTTGTTGTAAAACATTGTCTCTTGTTTGATGTTTGATTGTTGGAGGATTTCATCTTCAATGGATGAAACAGAAGGGGTTGTTGGAGAATGAAAGGGTGAGTCCTTTGAAACTGTGACGGTTTTACAACCGTCGCTAATGGTGGGGCTCTTTGGAGTAATCTTGAACCGGTTACGGGTAATTCCGGCCAACGAGTTCCGGCGAGTTGGTTGTGCATGGTTGTGATCGGCAGTGTAGGTTAAAATGTAGATGCTTGGATCGGTGCAACTTTGCTCGACTTGTCTCCTTGCCATACACCCTTTTGAGCTGCTGCATCTATAATAGCTTCTGTACAATTCAAACATCATATATACTCATAAGTAACGTAAACAATACAAAAACGCCATAAAACCAATATAGTGTTTGAATTCTACGGAAGCTATTACAGATATAATGTCTGTATTCTAACATTATACCTATATAGTGGCTGGATCTTGCTAGCTGGATATATCGAACAAGAGAACACTTGTAAAGAACATCTAGGACCATATATATTTGGGTTCTAAAACTGATTAATTTAGCGTCTGTGTTTGCAATTTTATCGACCTTTTTTCCCGTAGGATCAAAACGAAACAAATTGCCTTTTTGCTGTTCAAAAAAAAAAAAAAAAAAACGAAACAAATATGTACCTTGGATAGATGGAGCCTTTGATTGGTTTTTGACCATATTTACGCCAAGCCCATGGATCTGAAGATAACCCATCAGCTGTTACTTGAACCACCACCCTCTTTTGTTGATTCTTCCTGTTTATACACACAGAAAATTAAAGAAAGTGTCACTAAAATCATCATCGGATGCAAATACCATAAATATCAATCAAAAAAGAAGGGATATAACCCGGTTTCTTGATCGCAAAAGTTCTCACCTTTTTTTGAGCTTTGGTGCAATTTGGGAGGGTTTTGAAGCAGACTCACAAAAACTCCTGATGTGTTGTTCTTGATGTTGAACTTCTTGATCAGAATCCTGATGATGATGATGATGATGATGAATGGTTTGAAGATCAGCAGAAACAACAGGCATAGGAGGAGGAGGAAACTCGATCTCATTAGTTTCATAAAGTGGATAAAAAGGCTTGTAAAGTTGATCTAATTCTCCTCCAACAACTGCTGTTGTGCTAGTGGTTTCAGGATCATAATCATGATGATGATCAAAGAGATGAGGGTAACAGAAGAGAAGAGCTTGATCATATTCTTTCTTCATATCAATAGATCCAAAAGCTTGATCATGATTGTGTTGATGATGATGATGATGATGATCTTCGTGATCTTGCAGATGGTCATCGTATTCATTAGGTCTGATCACAGCTTGTAAACCCCAGTCCGCCATGGATGATTGAAGATAATGATTTGAAGAGAAAGATAATTAAAGAAGATGAAGATGATATAGAGAAGATTGAAGAATGAGTTGGGTGCTGACCTTTTTATAAGTAATTGAATTGTGGGTATGATTGAGAAGCATCTCAGAAGGATGGTTTTAAAGAATGGGATTATTATAATGGCAAGTGTGTGTACAGTTTACAAGTGGGATGTTGACTTTGGTGGCAAGTCAAAGGGTGGGTTTTAGGATTGGGAGAAAACGTAACACGGCATGCGCCCTTTACTCGCTTCTCAAACTCAAGCTTGACTGGACTTTTGCATGTTTTTTCTGCTTATATTTTCAAAACCCCACATAAATAAAATCAATCTCTCTCTCTCTCTCTATATATATTAGTTTGGATTCCGATGAGAAAAAAAGTTAAAATGATAAGCGTAAGAATTCATCTACACTTTTGGATGTACATTGGTATGAGATGCTTCAAGATGCACTAGATTAATCTCCGTTAAGCACGATTCATGAGTGACTTTAAAATTAAATGTGATCAAGGGTCTAGAATTCTTTTTACACTTCTCAGCTTAACTCTCTTTGTCACAAGATCCTTCGCCTACACACATATATGAACATGTTCGTTAGAAACCTAAAACTGTTTGAAACTTAGGAATTAACCATGCACAACATGACACGTGCCATATTCGTCAGAAATATGAACTTGTTATTTATCATTATTAATGTTGTAACATATTCATTATGAATGTATGATTCATGATAATACCACGTCTATATTCATCATGAATATGTTATTTATGATGGATATTCATACTGAAGAGTGAAGAGGGATGTGTTACATGTTGTGAACACTGTTATTTATGATGAATATTCATACTGAAGAATGACAAATAACGTGTTGTGAACATTTCCCAAGTTCCTAATCAATTTTTGGGTTTCATCATGAATATGTTATAGAGAGAGAGAGAGAGTTCAAACAAGAACATCTATATTGTGTGAAAACACGATAACACACTTATCACATGTGATAATACACATGAGAAGACCAACTAGTAGTGTGTGGACGATGTGCCCTGCAAGGGTGCGACCTAGGTCGCATTAAAGGTTGTTTTCGTGTATGATTTAGTATCACGTGTGGTGGATTATTATATTACATCAAGAATACCTTTATCACATTTGATAACACATACGGGTGACTTGTGCCTGCAACCTAGGTCATGCCAAAAAGGCGTCCGTGTCTCTGATGTAATATCGCATATGATAAAGTATAACATCACATGTAATTAACTATATTAAAAAGGTGCTCTCATGTTCTTGTAAAATAAATTTGTTCTCGTTTGAACTTCCACACACACACACACACACACATATATATATATATATATTGTTTATTTATTTATAATTATGTGAAAAATAAATAAATCGCAATTACAAATCTAAAAATTTCAATTTCAGAATTCATTATCGTAACAAATCCAATAAATGTTGGATATTTGGGATATTGTTTCAATTCACATGATAATAATTATGAGAAAAAATATGATAAATTTCGATCATTATACATCGCTTCGTATATAAGTCATTGATGTGAAGACTTAAGATGAGCGGACCCTAGTCATTATATGGTCGGTTTTTTCAATGTCGGTGCCGTTTTTACTTGACTAATTCCATGTATATTTATAATCACCGGTTTAATTATTATCAAATTATTTTTACTTGACAAAACAATTATTAATACAATCATTAAGAAAACTCATTAACTTCGTTTTGTATTAATGGGTGATAATATTTTCACATCTCGTTACATAATTTCAAATGATATTTAAAACTCTTGGGTTAGAAAATTCAACGTGTAAGTTTTAGATTCATAATTTGCAACAATATTTCTAGTTTTCATAATTACGGTTATTAATGACACGTTGTAAAGTTGCAATCAAATTTATTGTTCGAGTTAATGCTAAAAGTAACTTTTCAAAAGTCAAAGTTGTATATATGTTTTTTTTGGAAATTTGGAAAACATGTATTGACTTGTTTAAATGCATATACATTTTCTATGTTTACACTTACGGGTCGTTTACTAAACACTTACTTGGTAAATATTTACCGGATAAATTTCCTCATCGAATAAACATGAAAATGGTCAAGAATCTTACTGGATAAGAGCGATGAGAATGATGGAGATTTTTTACCCGGTAAGTGAGGATGACGACTATTACTCAGTTAAAAAAAATGAATTTAAGATATTATATATATATATATATATATAATTTAATTTAAATAAATATATAGTTGTACGTCATTTATACAAAGTCATTACGACTTGTTTCCTTTTGTATATTGTTGTTTGGACCAATCTATTACTAGTTGTTGATAAGATTGGGTTTCCATTTATGCACATAACTTTTTGCCACTTGTTCTCTCTCTCCTTCCCTTTTTACGGAAATTCAAAATTATAACCAATCAATAAATAGAGTTTTATTTTTTAATCATTTTTTTATTTAAATTCATTTTTTAGTTAATTTTAAAGGTTTACGCATATATATAAACACTGTTTTTCCAAAACGAAAAGAGGTTTATGCGTTTTGATTATACGTGTAAAGGTTTCTGGATCTTTATACAGAATTCCTTTTTTTTACCAAACCAATTATTACATATATGTGTAGATTTTTTGCATAAAGATTGAGTCAGAAATGGCTAAAAAGTGAAACCAGCTATAACTTTGTCTATTTGAATAAAAACTCATTTTCTCTCTAAATAATAGTTGTATGTTTATTTTTTCTAAAAATAGCATTTATGGAGTATTATTACGTTGTAATAGTAATGTTTAGTTCTTATCGTTTACTTAAATGTGTTTATCAGTTAATTTTACTAAGTCTAAATATGAAGTTCTAAGAAGTTGTATGTATTCAATAATAAACAGTAAACTTGAATTTTGAAAGATTATGTATCAAGACCTCTCCAATTGGGACATGAAATCTTCAACTAAATACCAAATTTGACACTAAGGGGCCGTTTACCAAACACTTATCCGGTAAGTGTTTACTAGTAAAATCTAACACTATTATTTATTTACTGGGCAAGATTTTAGTCCACCAAAACGACATGATATGCAACAATTTACCCGGTAAACGCTTACCGTGGTAAGAGTCGTCGTTCTCACTTATTGAGTAAGACTCTTGGTCTTTGTCTCGCTCTGACTAGGTAAGATTCTTGGTACTTACCATATTCATCCAATGAGATAATGTGACTTGATAAGCGCTTACCTGGATAAACATTTAGTAAACGGCTCCTAAATCTCTTCAATGAGACAACAAATCTTATATCAAATTTGGCATAATAAATAGTAATACATCTAACTTAGCGGAGTTAGTTTAACTGATAATAAAACTTGAGACTTTGGGAATTATTCTCATATGTCACAGATTCGAGTCCTGCAAGGCAAATCGGTATTTTCCAAGTTATTCTTCAGTGTCCATCTTTTATTGAACCACAAGGGGGTGCCCAATTGTGTTGAGTTTGGGCTCCAAATGTCAAAAGTATCTGCAGGTCCCGGATTCAAATTCAAATAGAAATAAGAATTCTTTTGTGGCCACGGAAGTTCAAATTGGTAGCTCTGGGCTACCAGTGAAGCGGATGATCGTCATGAGATTAGTCGGCTCGTATAACGAGTTCGATATATAGGTTAATAAAAAAAAACATCTTTTACTGTTTATATTCAAAGAATCAAAAGACTACATTTCTGTAAACAGTAATTACTTTTTAACATTAAATGAAAACAAAAAATCAAGAAATAACGTACGGCATCATCGATGATCCAAAGATTTTGGAAAAGTAAAATGTTGGTTTTGTGAGTTAAAAAAAGGGCAAATTGCATGAAAAAGTAACATACTTTAACTTGATTCCTATTTTGGGTAACGTACTTTCAAAACTTTCATTTKRGTACATAAGATGTAAAGTTTTAAACATTTAAGTACCCGGGTAACCCAGTGAAGACTAATTTTAGACTAAAAAAAGACTAATTTTAGATTTAAAAAAAATCCACGTCATTGACCAGGTCAGCAAATAATGAAATAATACCGAGTTGGATACCACATCACTCGACACATCAGCATGATAATCGGTTAATACTTCAATCAGTTACCCGGGTACTTAAATGTTTAAAACTTTACATCTTAAGTACCAAAATGGAAGTTTTGAAAGTACGTTACCCAAAATAGGAATCAAGTTAAAGTACATTACTTTTTCATGCAATTTGCCCTTAAAAAACACACTAAAAAGAATAGGGAAGTTGACTAAATACGCAACCCGTTACACACAGACATTTGTCAATAAATTTATTAAATTAAAACAATATTAATCATTAAAAAAAATTAATGCTAGCTGTCAATTTTTGCTTCAGATTTTGTTTTTTTATATATAGAAAATTAATACTTTTCCGATTTTAATAATATAATATTTTATACATGAAACAAAATTTATATGCACCAAAATTGATATTTTGTTTTGTGTAATTATATGAAAAATAAAAGTATTTTAACTTGATTTTTATTTTGAGTGATATATTTTTAAATTTTTTATTTTGATATTTAAGATGTAAAGTTTTAGATATTTAAATACTCGGGTAACCGGTTGAAGTACTAACTGGTTACCATATAAAATAACAATATATGAAAACTAATTTTATATTAAGATATTCATGTCAACAAATAATACTGAGTTAGATACCACATTACTCGCCACATCAGCATGGTAAACCGGTTAATGCTTCAAACGGTTACCCGGGTACTTAAATGTTTAAAACTTTACATCTTAGGTATCAAAATAAAAGTTTTGAAAGTATGTTATCCAAAATAAGAATCAAATTAAAGTACGTTACTTTTTCATTTAATTTGCCATTTGTTTTCAACTAACAAGAAGATTGGTTAAAATAATCATTTTTCTCATATAAATTGGTCTTCTAACCATTCATCTTTATGATTTACCTAAATATCACTACATCCACAAGTCTCAAGTCTATCACTTGCAGACTCAACTAAAAGATAAAAAAA